AGCCCTAGTATGCACAAAAACTATTAGCACTACTTGCTAATACTTACTCATTGTTGTCATTTTGAATGTTAATAGTAAAAAATATCGAAGATCTACCATGGCTAAGACTTTTAATTCACTGAGATTTGAAAAATATTTAAACCATAAACAATTATTTTATTCATTCTAAATGATGACTAAGTATTCTTGACTTTTGAGATACGATTAATTTTCAAAATAAATATTCTTTTGAATAAACTTCATGCATTTTTTGAAGCTCTAATATTATAATATAAATCAATAAAATAATTTCCAAATATTTTCATTTATATAAGCGCTCTAATGATGCTAATTTCTTTATTAGTCGTAAAATCGAAATTTAAAAACTTTTTGATAGTTTTCATTGATTTAATTCACAGCTTATAGAATATATTATATTTCACGTTCACTCGATATACCTATTGATAAAACTGTGATTGATGTTTTACAAAATAGATCGTCTTCAATAATCTGTTATTGAAAACAAAATAAAATACATTGAAGTCAATTTCTAAATTATGTAAAATGTATTTGAAACAGAGAATACAAAATATTTGACTGTATCAAACACAGAATTTTCAACATTATACATTAAGGTATACTGTGCATCAAAGCCCAAGGGAAACGCAATTGATCCATGTCTACATGGAGTAGATCCGTATTGTTATTTTTTAGACTGAATAATACTAAATGACAGTGGCTACAAATGACACATGGATAAACGTGGAGTATTTCCTATCCATATATAAGCATGGCTTTAATTAAACTTAACTGTACTGATGGGATTTGATTTTGAATTAGATCCTAGAAGGAACAATGTATAATATGGATACGCTGCAAATCAATGTATAGATTTAATAAATATAAGCGAACCTAAGCAGTATGACTTATGTTCATAACATTTTACATAATTAGGCGCATAAAAATATTTTCTTTTACATCAGAACGTTTATTTTTATTGTCAACAACTATTATTGCACGTGCTTGATGCAATTTGAATTCATATAATATATGAATTTATTGATACGAAATATTATTTCGTATCAATAAATTTGGAGTATGTGTAAATTTATACATGTATTAATGAAATAGTTTTTTGAATACTTCAATAGCGACTTTTTCCAAAGAACAATCGTGTCTAGACTTATAAATATTATGATATATGCGAGTACAAACTCTATGTCAAGTATTTTTAAGGTATATTTTATTTACTTTAATCACTCATGAAGGTTACTTCAACGAAAAACTAAAACAAGGTTGAGAAATTGTCCATTTAAGAAATGACTGGTTTAATGCACAGACTGAAAGTTAACATTGAACGTTGTTAAGACTAAAGAGCGAACGGATATAGTTGAATTGCCGATTATATGAGTTTTTTTACTAACTTATTTTACACAATATAATGAGTAATTAATAGTCGCAAAATTCTTAGTAAAATGGAGAAATTGTAATTACTGTTTTCATTAGTAAACAAAGATGTTTTCTGTGGTTTTTCTAGCGACATTTAAGATTTGACATTTAAAAGAACGTTTCGTAAAAGTTAACACATCATTCATACATGATGTAATATATCATTCTTATATGATTGTGTGTATATAGAAATTATCTCAAACAATATCAATAATATATTATACAATTTAAAGTTGGTTTTTTTGAGCACTGATTAATTAACACTTGATTTATCGTAACAAGTTTGAAAGGTGAATTTTTATGCAAAAAAAAAAAAAAAATTTAGTTAATAAAATAATTATTTAAGTATATGCATAATGATAATTGTGTCACAATCATGATTATTGGGTACTCAGTGTATAAGTAATTACTATATTAGCATAAAATATATTTATACAGTTTAGATTTACATATATTGTAAATCAGTGATATTTTTTCTTATTAAAACGGCACATTAGAAAGAAAAAACATCATGGAATTTATACGTCTCAAAAGTCTTAGAAGCGTATTGAAAACAAATAAGCATTACAAAACATTCACGTAGAAAAAAACAATTAAACAAACTTTGTTTATTCCATTAACTTGTAAAATTTAAAGTTTAAGTATACTTATTGACAAAATTTAAATATAACTTAGTATATTTTCATATCAGACATGAATTGTCAACAAAAATAATTATTATTTATTGGAAAACTTCTCACTAAATACTAGCGTTATTAATAAACTTAGTAAGTACTATGTGGGCAAGTAAGATTTGTTAAACGAGAATAAGACATACTGCACAGACAAACAACTCTATAACAGAGTAATTAAGATAACAGTGAGTGATTTTAATATTTACTTTGAGTTAGTTAAGTAAATAGCTGTATTTGACTCAGGCACTAAAAGAGCCTAAGAAATCTGACCTTAAGTGCTAAACGTTCTGACTGAGAGTATCTTGTGTATCTCTCTTGAATAGAAAACTAATATTTAATATCGGACTTTTAGCCGACGTCCATTATTAACCCCATCGTTTGACCTCTGAACGTGCTTCACTTGAACAGAACATAGTTAGCAAAAACTAATTTTGACCGCGTAAACAACAAACGTCCTTAGAAATAATAATATCCATCGTAAACGCTAACAAGAATTGCCACACCCGCGGCTGTAGCATCAGATGTATTAAACTTTTCCCTTTAGAAGAAAATTCAGTTTAACAGACTTTAGGACACGTGTTCATCTCATTTTCTCTCTTGTACAATAGTTATGGACAACTTCGCATTATATATATACGAGCATACTTTACGGTTCACTTACCTGAAACAAAAAAAAAATACCTTCACTTAATAACATGCTGACAAGCGTATATCCACATATAGCCATGGACATACCTAAAAATGCGATGAATATCGATGAGGGAATACATTATTATTTAAAAACACGGGTTTAAGAATGTCGTTACAAAAAACAGGCACACACAAATATGGAGCTTCAAAAAAAGTTAAAATTACTTATATGGCCAATCAAACGAATAAACATCAAGGCAATTAACAACAATACACTTAGATATCAGTTGTGTAACAGAAAGAAATACTTGGAATTGTATACATACAAAATGTGCCTTCATATAATTACTATACATTACTGGTTTTACACTTATAATAATAAATTGCATCACATACATAAGAGGGTGTCTCACGATGTTCTGCCAATTTGTCAAATGAAAAGTGTGTAAATTTGTTAGAGCATCCTGAGACACCCGCATGAATAAGTCATTGAGAATTTCTAATACTTATAATTTATTGGTTAGTACCTAATAAGTACTTTATTGTAATCTATATTAATTACTTAAAGTTTAGAACAATATAACTAAAGTAGCCAATCTAAAAGAAAGAAAAAAATTTGTATGGTATTTTATTTTTTCGTACATATGACATATTACATTTTGAAGGCTTCGTATTGGCAGACAGGGTCTTCTTTTGCGAGCTTTATACTAGAATTAATTACTAATCTAGGTATAAAGCAAAGAGTATACTTTTGTTACATAGCTCTTAAATTAAAAATGGCATTTACAATCAGTAAAGGAAAATTAAACTTATTGCAATATTTAGATTTATGTGGCATAATTCAATTAAATAAAGATCATTTACTCATATTTACGATATGGAAATTGAATATTATAATAATACACAACCCTATCTTATATAAGTATACACTTTTCTTGCAGAATTTAATTTCTGTCGAGTAAATTGATTGTTTTTCTTTTATTGTTAAGAGTTCCTTTTTTTAATATAAATGCAATCTGGTACAAATGCAACTTAATTAAATTATAAGTTAAAATTATGAGTTTGTTTTAAGTTGTAATATATCTTTGTTTATTAAAAAAGAATAGAAAAAATGTTGATTTTATGTACCCAACGTTTTAATGACTTAAATAATTTGATTTTTTAATTTATAATGTACAATTAAGATTATAATAATAAACATAGTATAATAATATGATTTTTTTTAAAAATAAATTTCATTTAAAAATTATTACTTTTTTATTCAGAATTAATCAAATAAAAAGTCATCAATGAAACGCAGAAATTATTTAAGTTTTTATATAAGTATTTAACCATATACAGTATCTATATTAATTCATTACACATCAATTCAAAATATTTGATTATCAACATTTTCCCTCCTTCCAATCAGATTTTATATAAAATAGTATTAGAAGAGTATCCTTTGATGAATTTTATCAAAATAAATGGATTAGAGTGACATTATACGATCGAAAATATGGTAACAAGTAAAAACAAGTATTTTTGTAATAATATTGTTTAGATTATTTTTCTGAACGTTTCTGTGACGAGTATATCAACCAAAAAAATTCAATAAAAGAAAATAGGTCAAGAGATTTACATACACCCTGACGGTTTTTGTTGAAGCAATGCAATACATTTTACTGAGTCAACAATGTAAAGTACAGGGTATAATTTAAAAGGTGCTTCTATAAATGTTAAGTAACATCTGTCTAAAAATAAAATGAACATTTGTTCCGTACAAGCTTTATCATTAACGTTATTAAAAAAATTAAATCTAATAAACTACTAGTATGTGTTAACTCATGTTAATACATTTTTTTTCTTTGAACGTAAAATAATTTTACTTTTAATTTTAGACAATATAATTGAAAAAAAGACTGGGTAAGTTGTTGACAATATTTCAAAAACTTCAATTAAAAAATAAACCGAATGCAAGAAATATCAAGTTAGACATAAGAATATAAAAGTTTTAATTACTGTTAAAACTTAAAATGTCTCGTTTAAATCACTGTATTGTAAATGCGTTATATATAGATTTATAGCGTTATCCATATGGTTCCAGTAATATAACTGATCATCTTTTGAGTTTAATTTTGATAATAATAAAAATTATGTAATATATATTTTTTTAATCCCCGAAGAGAGAATCTTAAATGCATTTTACTAAAACCATTTCAAGAATAACCTTTATAATTATTTTTTGATCTAAAAATTTTTTCATTAGACAAATGAATTAACAAAGAATTAAACGAATATGTATCATATTTATTTAAAGAAAAAACAACGTTGTAATTTTTATAATAAATTTGGTTATGGTATTGTTTACGCTATTCGAGGTTACCTCAATGTCTAAGTATACATTTTGCTTAGTCAACAATACTTTAATATAAAATTATTACAAAATGAAGTAACGAAGATCGGACATTGTGTTTGGGCATTCACCGTGGTCATCATTCGCGATTGTTAACGAGGCGTTGCTGGAGCCTATTGTATTATTGGGTGTAAATGTAATGTAGTATGTGTAAACAGATTCATTCGTCGGTGTTGTTGTTGTTATCAATCTTTCGCTTAACACTGTCCGCTGTCGTTTGAAAAGTTGCTCAAGGGTTTATCTTGCTGCTATTCAAATCTCCAAAAGAGTGTGATATTGTATAACTGACGTCCTGTCCTTCTTTTTAAGTCGTCCCATGCAGAAATTATTTGCAATTATGCAACAGTTATGCATGTAAGAAATCTTATGTGTGTGCATAAAACAGTGTCCTCATTGTAAGATGATTACAAAAACTATTGATGCTATAAGATTAGATATATTATCTATCCACCGAGAAATGCTTACGTTACTATTAATTAATACTTTAACACGGATATAGTAAGAATATAAATAGAATTGTTTAGCGATTTTCAATGTGTGGCTGTACATAAGTTTTATACGATTTATCGCAGGAAGACATACCGTGTTCAAGTCTTAATAGATCATGTCAAATGATTTTAAGTATTTTCTTTGAATTGAGTCGTAAAATATTGATCTCAGACAATATTTGGATTTATAGATTTCATATTTATAGACTTCTCTAAACTTCCTAAAGACGCAGTTTCTGCATCTTCAAAATTTGGAGAAAAGTGACAACCGGTTTCTATTGGCAAAAATAAATTAAATTTATTTTACAATACATTATTTTTTTTTTAACCTTTTATTATGTATTAAATATTTCCGTTTTTATCCAATAATAAAAATCGCATTAATCATAATACTTGATTATTAATCAGATAGTATTTCAAATTTAAGAACCAATTTTATTTTGATTTTTATACTTTTTTAAAAAATCATCTCTAACTGGAATTAGAAAGAAGAAAGCAATTTTCATAACAGTATCATAATGTATCTGACATAGCATAGGTTTATTTTGTTATTTGATAACTTGAAACAACTATATTCAGTTAGCATACAATTTTAAGTTTAAATAGAATTTAGAGAGACTTAACAGAATCAATTAGTTGAGACTTTGTATAAGTAAACTAGAGTAGAAAAAAACTCATAAATCACTGTAAAGTAGGCAGCGATGAGCATTTTTTACTTAGACAATATTCAAGGCCATTTGAAACAAAACAGTAATTAAGCAGGTTACTGTTTTCATCTAAAGTTTATACACAATTTAATTAGCGTTACGACTTAGTAGTCATTTACTGACGTATTTTGTAGACTAAGTTTTTTTAATTTAATTTTTGTTATCGCTTTATCAATTGATTTATTTGCTCTATTTTAAAACTCAGACGTTATACAGAGAATAATATTATTGCACAAGTTTAGAGAACAGGTGTACTCAACAACTGAATAATAAATTAAAAGCGGTACAACAATAGTATATTTGTTATTAATGTGTTTATTTGACGTTTATAAGATTTAATAGAGGTGATTTATGAATTGATATACAGTTCTAATAATGTGGATATTTATTTTCAATAGTGATGATACATTATTAATACAGTACCAACTAAATGATGAGAGTATAATGAAGTATGAAACTTTAAGATATCACGTGAGAACTTCATCGCAGAAATAACGCTCAAAAAATAAATCATATTACTATAATATAAAACGTAAAAATGTTTGTAAGGTTTTAATTTTTAAGGTTTATATAAATTAATGTATCTATGTTTTTATTACACATATAAAGTCATATTGAATATATTAACAATAATTTTCTGATAATCCAAATTTCATTTTTTAAGTATTAATTATTTTTCAATTTAGATTAGTATAAGTAAATTTTATTTAATGTATTTAAAAAGCAACATAATACTGTTTTAATTAAAGACAGACCTGTTTTCTATTAACCATGATTTATTTGGTACTTGAATTGAATTAAACTTATATTAGAGATTGTAACTAATGAGAAATACCAGACTTACTACTTAACTCGGTCGTTAATTGATGTAGACATATACATATTGTTTTTTATAACACTGAAATTTGTTCTTTTTATAGCAAACCTGTCATGAAAAAGTAACAAAAAAGTAGTTTACGTGACTTAACTTATACAATATATTACATATAGATAATAATTCTTTAAAAAAGACAAATTTTATCATATTTCGAAAAATTATTGTATATTTATCAGCATAAATAAATAACGTTGCGTTTGCCAAAAAACTTAATGAAATATTTACCAAGTAATCTTATCAGGAAGAACGGGTTTTGTAACGAATAAAAAGAAAATTTTTTTAGATTATTGGTTTAAACCGTTAAAATATTAAAAACACTGAACGCATGTGATAAAAGTATAAAGTTATTGGAAGTGTAACATATTTTTATCTAATAGTTGTATAGACACTTTCCAATGCGTGTTATATTAGTTTTTAGATTTCATATAAAATTATCTTTGAAAGCTAAACGTTACTTAATACACGGTCTTTCTTTTTATTCATGAGCAAATATTACAGAAAATTATTCTTTAAACTCTAAAATATCAATATTTGCTGAACAATTTAATGCATAACTTTGAAGCGCAATGTGCCGTTTAGGTCTTGATACCAAAATACTTGGGTGTGTAGCCTAAACCACGGTTATATGTATTTGATAAACATATAATATAGTTTATCTTTAAAAATGTATAAGCTACAAAATATAAAATGTCATTTATAATCACGAAGTAAAATAGATAACAGACTGAATTCTATTGAATTTCTGATCAGTGATCACAATAAAATAAGAAATTGGAATAGAATTATTTGGTTTAACGTGGTTTACACGTTCTCAAGGATATAAAGTCAGAGTAGTTACAGTTGGGGTTTTGTATTCGGTTGATGACTAACGGCAGCTTGAGATTTTGATATCTTCATTATATTGATTATTCTTGATTTTTGCATCAAAGCAATAGCCAGAAAACATATTTTTGTTAAGACAATAAGCCGTTAATTACTGTATTCTACTACAAGAAGACAAACTTGTCGGACACTGACAAATGGTAGGTTTAATAAAACAAAAGGATAGTCGTCTGTCTTGAAAAATTTAATAAAAGAAATGCTTCACTCAATATATATATATATATTGAGTTGACCAGCAACTCCATTTGCTGAATATAATCAAGTTATCTCTCGAAGATTCTCAGACGATTTTTGTCCTTTTGTCGGCCAAGACTTATTGTTACTCTAAGAGTAGAGTAAATCGATTCATTTGTTAACTTATACGGGTATTACAATTTAAACGGCTTTATGATAGACCTAAGAAGTAGATATGCCATATATTATATAATGTACTTAGGTTTATTAAACTACTATACGTTCAATTTTGAAAAGATACCATAAAAATTATTTTTGTATACATCTGAAAAACATTAACTATTTTAAAATACACAAAAAGCGACCTCGGATTTTTATTGAAGACAGTAAAGTTGAATATAGTAAGTGGTTAATGAAAACAGACAACTATCGTAGTGGAAAAGTTATAATTGGTAATTAGGGGAAGATAGTTCATAAAATATAATCTGAGATGGCGGCACTCGAGTACTCAAATTTTACTCTTGTGAACTCTAACGGTATATTTACAAAATGATAATACTTATCCATTCTATTTATTCTCTTATAATTTATTAATTCAATTTCTTGTTTTATTTGGCATTTTAAACAATTGACCTAGTATTAAAGGTGACCAAAATATATTTATCGTAACAGGTTTTGAGATGAGAACACTAGTTTGACATAAACTGTTTTTCTTATACAGAAAATTTTTAGACACTATAATAATATAATAATAATTTTTAAAATATAATAAGCTAAGATAAAAATGAAAACTATAATTATAAGTTAAGTCAGTTAAAAAAATAATAAATCCAGCGAGTGTACATTATGAAAATGATATTGCGTGCATACGGTTTGCATTATTATATTTATCTATATGTAATATACATTACATATAACATTTTTTATTATACATTTAAATAATTTTGTAAACGTTTAATAAACGATTTGTGCTCCTCCGTAACAACATCTTTTTTGAATAATTACAACCACACAAATTATTGTACTAGCAAAATATTTAGTTTGAACAGTCATTTTAAATGATTATCATATTATATTTTAAACAGCGGACAATTGTTTACTTCCCACCTATTGTATTGTAGATTTTTTTCACCTTGAAAACTATTTAATTTACAAGACATTTTGGCTTGATGATAAAAATTAAACTGTTCAACGTTAAAAAAAATCATTTAAATTCAAATCGCAATAATTTTGTATTCTCAAAAAAATCATCATACCTACACAATAGAATATCACTATGTAGGGGTCATGAGTGTTGCTAAAATATTTTAAGGAATTTGTTTACGTCCAACCCAATACATTATAATGAGAATATCATTCGCAGAAAATAAGTTTTTGAAAGGATGTTTGTAAAAATGTAAGTGTGATTCGAATAATTTTGCGGGCATCACTCCACAATGATTTATATAAATACGAAGTTAATACAAGGCATAAAAAAGGTAAAAAACATTTTTTTAAATTGTGCTCCTTTGATTTAATTTTGTTCTGTAAATATGGCAAGCATTAAATTCTGAAAATTTTCACGCATTGAAAAAAACATTTGATACTATTGACTTTAATTATCGTTGTTTGTTTTCTTTTTACGAAACAACCGGCGAATGGCGCACGTTATCGTTTGATTTTTTGTTGGAATAACTCTATGTACAGAGAATAATAATTGCCATTTGGGAACGACAGCTGCAATTCGTTATAGTAATTAAATTGGAATTTTTTTTTCTGTACGACAGTACCTTTGTGTAAAAAATGAAATACGGTTCAATAATTCTGTTGGGATCGTTTGATAATAAATAGTAGTATGGACCTCTTTGCCCTAGTTAGGTGTCGTACCGTACTGACTTAGTGGAACGTTCTGTGGTCACCACGAAAACACTTTCCTCATATGGTATTTGTAGTATTATTATTAATATAGATTTTTAGTACAGCAATACGGTTCTCTGCTAAGACACAGCTGCCATGTGTTTCGGTCATTTGTTTGACTTGGTAACCGTCGGCTAGGACGACGTTACCGTTTCGCCAAGTCATCACAGCAGTTAAATTACTTCCACCGTATTATTATAGTTGCTAATATTATATTAATACACATAAATTGTAAAGAATATCGATATGGCTACGTACAGCAACATACATGTATATGTATGAATATCACGGACAAAATAACAATAAAAAGTGATGACTCTTTATCTGTATTAATATAGATTTTAGCCTCTGTTTTTTTATTTTTGTAGAAGACCTTGAAATCCACATAATTATTTAATATGCATGCAGGGCTCATTGTATGGAAACGTCAAAAATTAATCGTGCGACACTTAGACAATTGTCGCCTGTCGTCGATAGTTCATCATAGAAACTCTTCGATGGCAAATTTTGTAGTTGAATCCGCGTAACGAAATTACCGTGTCACATACATAAAAAAACTATGTTTTTTGTTCATATGTTAGTTTTTTATTTTTGGTTAACCTTGGAAGTTCTCAATAAAGTCGAAAAATGCGTTTTCAGAAAAGACTAAGTAATAAAATAAAATATGTGATAGCATTTTAACGACTTGATATTTGTGCATTAAATATTTTCAGAATGTTCCATTTGGGTAAATTTTTATTTGTCTGCATTCCGACGCCGTGACGCAAATTATTATTATAATTGACCGTTGTAAAGGGGTTAGAGAAAAAAAAATCGATGGGTTTTCTTACATTTTGACCAAATTATCACTCCGTATAGATTATTACAACAATGGACTATACACGACTTACAAAAGATTTTACGTTTAATTTCTAGTAATAATTTTTTGCTCAATTAACCGCGTTAAAACGAAATCATAATAAGCCAGCGACTTCCGTTCATTGATAGTTTTATGCATGCTAGTCAATACGATATATATAGGATAATCATTTTAGCATATTAAAAAGAACTATTTTATTAAAACTCAAGATTATATTTAAAATACACGCATTCCCTTTTAATTTTTTTTTAATGTTCATTGTTTGAATATGGATAATTATATTAATATAGTTCAGATTAGTGTTTATAATCTTGCGATGTATACATATTTTTGTGGTATACCGAAAAGAATTAGCGAAATATGTACACAATATCAAAGGATGGGCGACTATTTATGGTAAAACAATATTCAAATTTTGGAGAACACATCACAGCGCTCAGCGAATTAAATAATAATTGAATTTCCTCGTATTTTATCATTATTTTGAATAGCACACTCGGCACGTGAGATAACCTTATTAGAACGGCCTAATCCAAATAGAATTTGGCTTTAATTTTGTAGCATAAAGTTTCATTTAAGTACCAAATGAAAGTAAAAACTATGTTCTATTCTACTGAATTTGTGGCGTGACTTCAATAGTAATAGCACTAACAGTCAATAGAATGTGTTGACAATCTGTTGCTGTTATTGAAACATGATTTATTTTAGTAAAACTAGATTTTCCCTGCAGTGTATATCATGTTCAATAGTGTAATCACACAATATTGATTGGTATGGGATAATCATATTTCATTATGAATGTAATAGTAAGTTTCCTCCATTTGTCTGTTGTATCTTATTTAAGTACCGGTTATTATTACCGAATACGTAGAATATAAACGTTGGACCATGTTTTGTAATAATATCAATTAAATGATGTCAAATATAACTATGAATTATTATAACGGAAAACTTTCATGGTAAATGCATTACGTAAATTATGTTATTTTTGTAACAAACATGTTGACATTTTAACAGATTTTATTAAGTCTAAGGCAAGTATCCTGAAAAATAGTACTCCAAAAACATAAAGTACTACATAAAAATTGACAAAACCAGTTGTAAATTTTAATTATTTAAAATTTTATGTAAAGTTTTTCATTAAATATTTCTTGTTTAGATAAAAATATCAACTAGAAAAATTTCAAAGGTCAGTTACCTTTTGTTTAGTAAATAAGTCAATCTACTATACATAACTTTAATAAAATGAAGGAAAGTTAAAAGTCTTGACTTTTAAAATCTACATATTTTTTTAAACCAACGCCTGTCATTGGTTTACTGTATCACAAAGGTAATGGTCCCAAAAGATTCGTTCCTATTTGTTCTTGTCGGCAGTCATCATTAATTTTTCCGAATGGCAAAATCTCATTTGTCAATGTCACTTTTATGTATAAAATAATTCCCTTAGTATAAACTTGCAGATTAAAATTTTATGAATCAACTCAATACAACTGACATACTAAAAAAAATTTGCTGAGATTTGCATAGTTGACGGAACTGTATTCTTATAATAGTAAAAGAGGCGCGCGGGCCGTGTTATGTAACTGATATAATTACACACACAGTTATAACTGTTAGGTAATTCTCCATTAAAAATTATGAATATTTTTTAAACCTCTATTTTAAATATTATGTTATTTTACGCTAATTGAGTAAAGTAAAAACAAGAGAGTGAAGATCCTTTTTTATTAAAAATAACCTATTAAATTAATTTACGTATGTGTAATAAATACGAAAAAACCTAAGTAACTGAATACGTTTTTTTAGAATCTTAAAATATTAAATTATTAATTTTCATTTTATTATTAGAAAAAAATGTGTAGAAGAATGAAATGATCTAGCGTACTATTTGCAAAAATGTTGAAAAGCTAAATTAAAAAATTGTGTAGAATTTTCTGAAAAGAAAAACGTTTGAACGATTTCTAATAAAGCTCAGAT